TACTTCTTTATCCTTGAGAACCATTGATTCTCTAATGGACAGTGATTCATAAAACACATTCATGAATCGGAGCTCCTACTGGTCCAAGTACCGAATCAACCCTCAAGAGAATTATTTATCTACTTCTTTCTTAAGAAGGATTGGATTCCATCTCGTATAATAACATTCTCGGCTACCTACTTCATCATGTCTCCAAAATACAAGGAATAGGATTCAGGATCTCAGAATCCGTACCGAGTAAATCAAAAGACACAAATCCATAAATAGGAGTTTGTTAAGAACTCAGGATTAAGATCATTCTATATATGACCATCGGTAGACTCAATTAGAATTTCTATACTTAACGGAAATTATTAAAAATTCATATTGTGTCTGTGTCCTTGTTCCACATAATTTCATTATGTGGAATACACTCATTCAATATCTCACCATATTAACAGTGCGGATAACACTGTTCCATTCTAAATGGGAATGACATGTATTAATAATGTTTTAATCAAAAATTCCAAATTTTAATTAAATTCACTATGAACATTGTTTTTTGATTATTATCCTTAAACATTATCCTCTCGTATATAACACTTATATACAATGTTTAAGGTTACATAAATAATCACGGAATTTTTATTGATATTCATAAAATATTCATAAATATATGCACATAAAATAATAAATAAACTATTTTATTAAATAAATAATAAATATCATATTACATCTTATATTTTTAAGACACCATTCTCAACAATATTCGCTCGCTCCCTAATCGTTCTCTAAGATCTCTCATAGGATCTTCAATCAAAAGTCAAACCGAAAACTACCCAAAGGCATTCTTTCAGCCACCAAGAGCCTATAAATGCATATCATTGGCGTCTAAGACAGAAATTCACGAATTCCAACGCATGCTTACACCCTTGCACGTATTTCTAGATAGAATTACATAATTTTTTTTCATACTTCTCAGTATTTTTCTCATCTTATTTCTCCTGATAATTATAGAGAACATTATCGTAATTTTCTTCTACGATTAGAGTGGAACATTTGAAGACTTAACAGAGGACGTAGTTCTTTTCATTGAGTGTACATCTACAAAATCAATGTATCATTTTCTCTTTTATTTTTCTATTTATTTATTTATTGCAACCGTGACATTAAAATAACCATCCGAATTCAGTCATTGACCTCGTCTAAATTTAATTGTAGAATTTCACCTACTACAAAATCCAACACCATTGAACTGATATTTTGACAAGAAATTGATGTTTTAATGGAGTGATCAATGAAAAAAAAAAAAAAATTATGAGACTGAAAAACTACTTTATAAAAATTCATATAAAATCAAGTTTGAGTCATGATAAAAGTGTTGATCGTCGGATTGGAAGCCAAATTAAAGGAAAGTTTACGAAAATGACACTTACTATGTAAACATTTTTTTCCCTTGTTATTTCTACGTTAAAACAACATGTCGTTTTAAAATGTTAACAACTTTGTATGCCATTTTAGTTTAGGTTAATGATGAAATGCCTAAAAATACGAATATTAATTTTAAAAACAACACTATATAAAATCATATATAATGATACCATTACGTCTAATTTTCATATGATGAGGTTTACAATTTTATGATTATTAAATAAATTAGAAATTTAAAAAGACTGACATGGCTATGTACAATGTGCAAATGTGCTATTGTCATCAAAATTGCAACTTCCATGGGAATGCTTACCATTACAGTCAATGGAACTGAACAACAAAAACTTTATGATAATCAACAAATATGAACAAAAAGATTGCAATGTTATGATGATATTGAAAGAATATTAAACTATTAAAATATAATCATGAATAAATTGCATTGTTGCACCTCAAACTATTAGTATATGACATAATAGGCCTCAACTTTCATTTTTAGTAAAATTCACCTTAAATTTTTAATTCAATAACAATTGAAGTCTAATAGCTAATGGCGTTATTAAATTGACGGTTTAAGACACGGGATTTACATGTGAAATAGTTAGAAAAATGGTTATTTTTCTCTTTAATGTGCAAGTCTCATATTTTAAACCGTCAATTATTGAATGTTCTTGAGATATTTAACCGTAGTTCTATTGTTTTCAAGTTTAAGTTGCAATTTGTCAAATTTGAAATTTCGAGATCAGTTATGTAAAAAAAAAAAAAAAATGAAATGCAACAATACAATTTACTCTATAATCAGGTGAAAAGTTTGTATATAATGTCCATAAATTAACATCATAACGATAATGATTTTACAATGATAATTAATATTGAAATATACAAGACAAATAAGAATTAATATTGAAACATACAAGCGGGATTGGAGAGTACCACAAACAATTGATTTTGAAACAAACAAACAAAATTACAAATTATATCTTAAAATAAAGAACTTCTGTAATTATTTCGTTTTCTTTTGGTTATTAATACTTAGACAAATCACATGTTTTCTCTTCGAACTATACGCTTTGTCACAAAATGCCATCTTCTCTCAAACTTTAATTTTAACTTCCACTTTCAACAACTTTTATAAAATTTCTCCGTTAGCTAAATTTTTGGCAAAAAATGTCACGTGAAATAAAAGTTTTATTAAAAAAACTCATTATGTTAAGATTTTTTAACAGAATTAACACGTATCACATAAATATAAGCGTTATTGAACAGTTTTTAGTACACAATTATTCTGTTAGCTCTTCCTCAATTAGTCTCACAGAAGAGCAATTATAAAAATAGGAGTTATCATTTTTTTACTACACTAACTTTCTTTTAATTTACTTGACCTAAGAAATTTTGAAGGTTTATCAATGGCGGTCAATAGCAATAACATGAGTAAGAATTTAACAAAGAGAAAATTTTACAAGAGTTGTTGAAATTTGAAAGAAAAAAAACTAAAATTAAAATTTAGTAGGTATTTTTGTGGCAAAACTTATAGTTCACGTTGGAAATGTGTAATTTATCTTTTAATACTTTTAGCCCCTGAGTTATATGAATTGCGTTATTATTTGATGGCGAGTTTTTAAAATTTAGTCAAAATAATCATATATATATATCGCGTGATAATAAAATTTTTTTGCGAATTAATTATATTAAGTACGGAATATTCTCTTCACGGTCAATAATAATTTGCGGGTAAAAAACTAAAAATTGAAAGGAACATTAATAATTCAGTAATTAATTATGCAATTGCTAATAACCCCTTTGGTTTTTGTTATTATGTACCAAAAGAGTCAACACCAAATCCATCACTCCAAACAATGACAAACACGATACGGAATTCAAACGTAAAACAATTTCTTCATATCTCTTTTATGGATTCAGCACAGGAAACAAAAAATAAAAATAAAAAAAAAACCAAAATAAAAAAAAAGACCAATCCTTTTGAAGTTCGCAAGAAACGAGTTCCTTATTGGTTGATACTTTTGCAATACTTTAGAGAGAGAAACCATTATTGTCGCTCTAGCCATGGCTTCTCTCCTCTCCTTCGCAGCCGCCATTATTGTCGCTCTCACTTTCTTATCATCGTCGCCATCCTCTTTCACTTCTTCGGTTGTCGTCGATTCTGCGAAGCTTCCGTTCGATCCTCGCGACGCGCTTCCGCTGCTGCCTCGACAGGTGGCGTGGCCGATCCTCAACTACCTCCACAGCGCGGTCGATATTCTCCCAAGCTTCGTCGGCGCCGCCTCCTCCTCGCCGAACCACACTCTCCGTTGGAAAGGAGCCTGCTTCTACGAAAACACTGCCTGGCTCGAGTTCCACAACAACTCCGGCTCCGAATTCGGCGGCGGAACTCTTCATATCAAGGTCTCAATTCAAAAACTCGATTCGGTTTATGGTTGTGAATTGTTGCTCAATCTGAGTTCGGTGTTCGGTATGCTTTATTTGGTTTGATTATGCCTCCCTCTCTCTCTCTCTCTAAAACTCGATTAGGTTTATGGTTGTGGAAGAAAACTAACAAGTTTTGTTGCTTAATCCGAGTTTAAATGGAGTTGATTGAACAAGAAATACTTTGTTCAATATAGTTCTTTGTGTTTGATTATACTGTCTCTAACACTGGATTAAATTTATGGTTGTGAAAAGAAACAAAACTTTGTTGATTAATCTGAATTTGGTGGAGTTAATGGAATAAGAAATACTTAGTTCGGTACACTTCTTTTGGTTGGATTGTAGTGAAATTCGATTTGGTTTGTTCTCCGTAATTGACGTTTAGTAGGAGCTGTAGCAATTTGGAGCATTGGGTGTGTCGTTTTTTGATCTTTTGATCAGAGATTAAACTTACTGCTTAATCTTAGTTTGTTCTACTTCTTTTAGTTTGACTCTCTCTCTTCCATTTTTGTTCTGTTTTATGAAATTCTGTGTCTTTTGTTGGAGTTCAGTAGCTTTTTACAAGTTTGGAGTCTTGGGCACGTTACTATGTGATATTTGAATAAAGGTTAAACTTTATTGCCTGATCTAAGTCTGATGAGTTTAATTTTGATTGGTGGAATTGATAGTGGGCGAAATAGTTAGTTTGATCTTCTCCTTTGTTTTACCTCTTTATTGAAGTTCAGTAGGCGCATAAGAAATTTGGAGTCCTTGCTTATAATTGTTTGAATTTTCTTGAGTCAAATTTAAATTACTGGAGTTCATCATCTGATAAATAGTTGGTGTGATTTTCGGCATCTATTCCCTGATGTTTGAATAAAAATTAACTGTATTGCTTCATCTAAGTTTGGCGAGTTCAGTTTGCTTGGTTAGATTGGCAGGCGTTAGAAATTGTTTGTTTGATCTACCTCTTTTAGTTTAATTTCTAGTCCTTTTTTTTTTTTTTTTTTTTGGCTAAAGATTGGAGTATTTGCCAGATGTTTTGCATTGTCGTGAAATCTATATCTCACAAATTTAGTTTTTGCAAGTTTTTTTTTTGTTTGTTTTACCTTTTTTAGTTTAATTTTTAGTCCTTTTTTTTTTTTTTTTTTTGGCTAAAGATTGGAGTATTTGCCAGATGTTTTGCATTGTCGTGAAATCTATATCTCACAAATTTAGTTTTTGCAAGTTTTCTGATGAGATGATTTATATGTTTGTGGGTTGAGAGATACCTCATTTTCGTTTAGTTTTCTTTTCTGTTGAAAGATGGGGTTTAACTTTGTGAAAGTAGTTGCATCTGCTGTTGAATTTCGGACCAATTTTGTAAGATATTGATATGTGGCCATAAAAGTTTTATGCTAGTGGTTTCCTACTTATATGATTTAAAGGTCTGAAAGTTTTAAGGAACTTTAGTTCTATACTGTGAAGACGGTTTAGGAACATTATTATCATGAATCAAAATCAAACTTCACTCCGTACTCCTCACTAGCAAAATCACGCGATATTCCTTCAGAGATTAATTACTGCGATATTGCTACATGGATTAGTTACTGCACTGCCGTAGTTTCTAACTTAGTTAAGATTTTGAGTTAGCTGACATGACTTCAAATTAATATTGTTGTCGTATATGAAAAAATAAAATGCTGTGCTCCAACTTCTAATGCAGGTTGGAAAAGCTCATAGTTGGACATGCATGGATCTCTATGTCTTTGCAACTCCATACCGTGTAACATGGGACTACTACTTTCTATCTCGAGAACATACGCTGGATTTTAAAGAATGGGAAGGGAAAACGGAATATGAATATGTATGTTACTGGTTTCTCTAACTTGGGACTTATTAAAATATTCAAGTTTCTTTAAAGAGTTCATTTTTGTTGTAACCCGATTTGTACTTTTGGTATATCAGGTTAAACACAATGGAGTTTCGATTTTCCTCATGCAAGCAGGAACACTGGGAACTCTACAAGCGTTGTGGGATGTCTTCCCTTTATTCACGAATACTCAATGGGGTGAGCAGTCCAACCTTGCATTCCTCAAGAAGCATATGGGGGCTACCTTTAATGAACGCCCTAAGCCATGGGTAACAAACATTAGTGCTGATGACATCCACTCTGGAGATTTCCTCGCAATATCAAAGATCCGTGGTCGGTGGGGTGGTTTTGAGACTCTAGAGAAGTGGGTTAGTGGATCTTATGCTGGCCACAGTGCTGTTTGCTTGAGAGATTCTGAGGGGAACCTGTGGGTAGGTGAATCAGGATATGCCAATGAGGAGGTAAACATATCTTATTTGCTAAAAGAGTATATACAAAAACAGTAGCTTCCTTATACCATCTCACTTCACTATTATCATTGTATTTTTTTTATTTATTTTTTATGTATCTATGGATGCTTAACAACAGAGTTAGTAATATAGGTTGAATAAGTTGCTGTATTGGTGTTTCTTATTCAATTCAATGACTTCTATTAACAATTATTTGGACCCTGGGGCTTTGGTTTGAGCAAGTGGTCGGCTGGTGAAGAAGAGATTTAAATAGACATTAATAAAAATGACGTATGAAATTTGTATGAGTGGAAAGTTCATGTGTATGTTAATGTATCATTTGCTTGGCTTTTATGCAACGTTGACACTTTTGCCTTTCCTTTTGTAGGGAGAAGACATTATTGCTGTGGTACCGTGGGATGAGTGGTGGGAGTTTGAGCAGACTAAAGATGATGCCAATCCTCATATTGCATTGCTTTCATTGAATCCTGATACACGAGCAAAATTTAACGAGACTGCTGCTTGGGAGTATGCAAGGAGCATGGAAGGAAAACCATATGGGTACCACAACATGTTATTTGCCTGGATAGACACAGTGAATGGCAACTATCCACCTCCCTTGGATGCTCATGCTGTATGATATATCTTCTATTTTTAAGATTTACTACCGGGATTTTCCTTTTATGTACAAGTGCTAATCTCAGTTTCTAGTGTTTTAACCATCACCAGTCTAAGTCCTTGATGTTTTGTAATTGTTTTGAGCCAGTGTTTTGGTCTTGTTTCTCTAAATTTTGGTTCCTCTATCATTTGATTTGTAGTGATGTTTATGTCATTGGTACTTACTTAAACATTCAAAGTATCGCCGTCCAAGTGGGGAAAAATATCGACTGTATTTTGGGTCACTATTTGTCCCTCCAAATGATGTATGACCCCAAGAGTGTAGAATTGGCTATTTCTTTTGGTCCCTCTTTCTCCCTCTTCTTTGCCTGCTCAAGGACTGCAATTAAGTATTTTAGAAGGTCTTCTATTGATCAACTGCTCTTAATTGTTAATTCTCTTGTACTGTAGGTTGCATCTGTTATGACAGTTTGGAACCAAATACAGCCCTCTTATGCTGCTAACTTGTGGAATGAAGCCTTGAACAAACGACTTGGAACTGAGGTGTTGTAACAAGTTCATTTTTCTTGGTCCAGAGTAATTAAATTAATATTGTAGTCAAACCCCTTCACTCTTTTACATAGAGATGATTAACCACTCTGTTTTTTTCCCCTAGATCATTCGAAAATTTTATTACTTTCTCAAGAAATGATTCAATGTCTAACGTGTTCCATGCAGGGCCTTGATCTTCCTAGCATTCTAGTAGAAACTGAAAAGCAAGGGTTATCTTTTGATAAGCTGTTGACAATTCCCGAGCAGGATGATTGGTTGTACGCTGATGGGAAGTCAACATCTTGTATTGCTTTCGTTCTAGAAATGTACAAGGCGGCTGGACTCTTTGATCCAATTGCTAGCTCTATCCAAGTCACAGAGTTCACGGTGAGCTTTTCCAGGATGATGCAGTGTCTATATTACTTGAACAGATCAATAACATCACCATGATTTTAGATTTTCAGCATGTAAAAGACTTTTATGAGAATGTGGGGGAACACAAATAAAAACAGAAAAAGCTCTTAAAAATTTTGAGATTTTTATAGAAGGGTGTGGAAAAGAAAAATACCCTGTTGATATTTGCCTATTTTGAACCGTCAAATTTGTATCATGATTTGTTAGTTTTGTATATTTTTTCATTAATTCAATTTTGACCAAATTTAATTTTCGTAAACATGCACCTTTGGGTATTGCCCTACCTTAGAAAGGCTCCTAAAAGTTTTTGAGATGTCCATCAGAGATGCGAAGTTTTGAGACTTTGAGTTGTCTTAGAAACAGTTTCTTTCCAGCATTTCCAGGATGTGGATTTGTTTTTCACTAATGACATTGCTAACAATGCAGATAAAAGACGCCTACACACTCAAGTTCTTCGATGATGATCTGAGCCGCCAGCCAAAGTGGTGCAATGATGCGGATGACGTGAAGCTTCCATATTGTCAGATTCTAGGCAAGTATCGAATGGAACTCCCCGGATTTAACACAATGGAACCATACCCCCATATGAATGAAAGATGTCCATCCTTGCCTCCAATGTACACCAGAACAGCGAATTGCTAGACCCGAAACTTCTTCACTCCAATCGGCCTAACCCCATTGTCAATGCCTTGAAGGTAACCTGCCATGTAAATTCCACACAAATTGTTTGGCAGCAGCATGACGAGGCCAAGTGCAAGTTCACTGATGTCCCTTGTAAATACGATTTTTACACTCAAAACAGTACCACTGTAGGATTCCTAGGGCCTTTTTTTTTTTTTTTTTTTTTTTTTTTTTTTTTTCTTTTTTTTTTTTTTAAAATTTTTATTTATTTATAAAGTATGATAAGTAGCTTTTAAATTATTGTGGAATGTACGTGAGGGAAAGAAATGAATTGTTCCTTTCAGCTTTTATATGTTCCGTGCTTCCAATTCTTTTCAAGCGGTACAAACTGCAAAGTTATGTATAGATGCTTGTCGTTTGTTGAGACCATTGTCGTTTCTTAATTTTAGTCGTACATAAAGATTGTAGACGATAGTTCCAAGCTTCTTCTTTTTATTTATTTATTTTTTGAAAGGCTTTATTTATCTATTTTTTTGGAAGTAGTATACAAGCTTTTGCATGAAGTGAAAAAAGCGGACGCAAAATGGCCGGGGGTGGGGGAGGCTAAGTAAGAAGCCAAGCTCCGCACGCATCAGTTCATATCTGATATCACATTTTTTTTTTTTTTAAATATATCAGGAATATTAGCCAATAGAGTATGAAAAGAAAATACTCAAATCTGCTCATATATGAGGAACATATATATATATATATATTTATCTGTGTGTGTATGTTTAAAATCGTTAGAAATTCTGATATTTTCATTATTTTACTAAATTCTGATATTTGCAGGTTTAATTTAGGGGTAAATCCACACATCAGCCTTTAATGTGGAAACTTGGTTTCCATATGGCCTTCTTTGCTTATTAATAATTTATTAATAACTCAAGTTGGAGTCGATCCATACCTTGCACAATCTTGCTATGGAAATGAGAGCTCTGCAACAGTAGAAGAAAATAATGGCCACCAAAAAAAAAAAAAAAAGACAATTTAATTAATCTAGCCAACAAAGATCTCATCGATTAATTAACTATATAATCGGGGAAATTGTTCTACTCTGTCGTAAAACAAATAACAAAGATTCTGCAAACAAAAGAGGGATCACAAGAATGAACTTCACAATGGTTTCTTTTGCATGATTTGTTGGACTGGTAGCTGGGAATGGCAACGGATCTCTGTAAAAAGAGTTGTCAGCACATAGTTTCCATGTGAACGAAGCAAAAGGGCGGAACTGAGGCTTGGTCTGCAAAATCTGTTGGGATCAAACTTTGTTGGTTCCGAGTATATGATGCTGTCCATTTGTGTCATTGATGAAGCCCAGAGTATCCTTCATTTTAGTTCAAGTGGAACAAAAGTAAGAGAGTTCAAAAGAAAAATGCTTAAGGACACTAAACACTACTATTAATAGAATTTCGGTTTTTTACTGCGTGATCTAACATTTGTTAGTAGGTGGTATTCACCACCACTAATACCCTGCTATAATATTGTTGAAGTTTGAAATGTCTAAAAAAAAAGAACAAACTCTCCGTTCATTTCGCTGATTCGTGTTTTGTTACAGTAAAAAGTTCTCACAAACAATTAAATCTAACTTTTTTGCTACAGTAAAAAGTTCTCACATAAAGTCACATCTCAACTCAAATTAAAAACTCAAATCAGCAAACTAAACGGGCATTTGTGTAGTATAAAAAATAACACCTAAGTAGGACAAGATTCCATATCGTTGGGAAAATTATTATTTCAATTTTTTGGTAAAAATTATTTTATAGTTTATTAGAAGTCTATAAATAAGTATTTTGCGTAAGATTTTATATGTGTGCTCAGAAAAAAAGTATAGAGATAGAGTGCCTCTTTTTGTGAGAGAGAGAGAGAAGTGAGGAGAGAGATAGACAAGTGTGTACAAAATTTTGGGTTGAGAGAGAAAATGAGAAAGTTTGTTGAGTGTGTAAATCTGAAACTGTTAGGGAATTTTTCTCCCTCTTTTCTGGACGTAGAAAATTTTTCTGAACCACTGAAATTTTTATCTTTTCTATTTTTTGTCATTTTTGTTTTAGTTTATTTTTCTGCTGCGTGGATGTAGTGATGTGTTTTTCCTCAACAACTGGTATCAGAACTGTGGTGAAGATTAAAAAAAAAGAAGTCAAGATGATGCCTGGGATAAAATTTGAGTAAAATGAGTGGTTTGATAGAAAGAGTAATTTCAGCATATGGCAGAGTACGGTCAAAGATGTTTTGATTTAGCATGGATTATTGAAAGCGTTGCAAAGAAAGAAGACAGAAAATATGAAAGATGAAGATTGAGAAAAATTGAAAGTGAAAGTAGTAAGCACTATTCGTTTAAGTTTGGCTCTTGAATTGAAATATAGTATTATGAATGAGACATTTTCTTATGAGTTGTGAAAACAATTAGAAAAAGTTTATGTCGGAATCCCTAACAAAGAGATTATATTTGAAGAAACAATTGTATGAGTTGAAGATGGATGAAGAAAGTGATGTTAGAAATCATATAAATAATTTTAATAAGTGCATAACTCAATTGTTAAGTGTAGATGTCAAAATTGATGAGGAAGATAAAGCGATAATTTTGTTGGTCTCCCTACCTAAATCATATGAGATTTTAGTGACTACACTTTAGTTGGAAAGACGATGGTGACTGTAAATCAGGTGTTGACTGTTCTGTTAGAGACTGCAAATATGAAAAAACTTAGTAGTGTGTCTCATAATGAGCAAGTTTTAGTGGCGAAGTCAGATTCAGATAGGGGTAGGAACAAGTCACAAGCGAGATATTATGATAAGAGAGATGATCGTTCCTAATCCCGTCTAAGGAAAGATATTGAGTGCTATTATTGTCATAAGAAGGGACATATTAGGAAAAATTGTGAAGAACTGACGAAGCATCTAGAAGGAAGAAGAAAGCAAGAACCCAAGAGACTTCAGATTCTACAAATGTCGTCGGCGACAGGTGTGATAGTGAAGATGATGTTTTTTCTGTTATCATTGATGAAAATGTTTCTGACTCTTGGATCTTAGATTCTGGATACTCGTTTCATATGTGTCCACATAAAAAGTGATTTAATTATTATAAGTCTTGTAATGCTGGTGTTAGTACATGTGAAGTACTTTGTTGATGACAAATGATTCTAGTGCTAAAGTTGTTATAATAAGTACTATGAATGTGAAGATGTTTGATGGAATTGTGAGGACATTGACAAATTTTACGTATGTTCCTCAACTAAGGAGAAGTTTAATTTCTTTGGGAGCTTTGGACACTTTGGGTTGTGAGTACTATGCGAATGGTGGTTTTATGCAAGTTAAGAGAGGTGATTTAGTAGTCATGAAGGGTGAAAAAGTGAAAAACTTATATAAACTTATTGGGACAATAATTGTAGGTTGGGCTATGAAGGAGAAATCATGACAAGAAAAGTCTTCTTCTATTGTGAAAATGGTTGCAGGAGTGAAAGAGTTCAACAAGATAACAGTTGAAGATGATAAAGACAAGATGGTGAAGACTTGTAGCAGTGAAGATACTTAAGAAGAAGACAGTTTCTCGTGTCAAGTTTGATGAGAGTTTGAACTTGATACATATTTATTTTTGTTAAAGTTTGCATTGTTGATGTGATGACATGTTTCGAGATTGAATACCCAATCGAGTGAGTTGAGAGAATTTGAGTCAATGTGGAGATGATTAGATAAGTGACTCAAATTGGTTCAGAAAAAGTTATTATTTTGTGTTTTTAGGTAAAAAATGTTAAAAATAAACCTATAAAAACAACATGGCTACATTTAAACCCCATTTTTTTATATGATTTTAATAAAAATTACAATAGAAGAGGTTAAGTGAAAATAATTTAAAATTTAAGAATAAAATGAGAGTATTTAAAATTTAAAATGCAAACTGAGAATGTAAATTGGCAGGAGAGTCACTCACATAGACTCTCAGCGATGTAAGCACTTCTTGACACGATAATGTTTCTTATCAAACCTTATAAAAGAAAAGGAAAGAAAACTGATTACTGTTACTTGTTGCTTTCCAAGCCAATGCATCTCAAGGTGAAGATGAACTTGTTTGCCACAGGTCCATGTAGGAAAACTGTTGGTTTACCAAACAGGCTTAGCTTCGAAATTGGGCCAGACGTTTTTATTCTTTCTTGCAGCCATTGTTCTTCTGTGTTGGCGCGCATTGCTCTTAGAAGACCAAGGCTTTGTCCTATTATTGGTATTCCTAGTGAGCCTGGAGGATGCTTTCTTCTTGATCTTCCTCTCCATTTAAAAAGGAAGATTGAGATAAAAAAATAGGAAAATAGTGAATAGTGTAATCATGGTATGTGTATGAGAGAGAGATTAATGAGTTAGGCTCCGTTAATTTTATTAATTTGAGTTTAGAATTTAAATTTTATTACAGTAATTTTTTTTTAAAAATAATCACATTTAATTTTTTTTATTATAATAAAAAATTTTAATATAAAATTATATTTTAATTTAAATTAAAAATTTAAATCAACGAAAATTTACAGACGAACATGCTAAAAGGCTCTGTAGAGCCGTTCAGCTCTGCAGGCACATGGGGTGGGCCCGTGCCCTTGTGGGCCCACATGGGGCCCACTCCATGTGTCTTCAGAGCTGTACGGCTCGAAGAAGCTATTTGTTGCTACTCATTTATTGAAGGGTTTTACTCTTTAGATTTAAAATTCCATTATATATTATGTTTTAACTGGAAACCTAAACCTAAAGGTAGTGATTACTCCTTTAGACTTAAAATTCCATTATATCTTGTGTTTTAACTGGAAACCTAAACCTAAAGGTAGTAACATACGCTTGTTTAGGGAGGTTAGTAGCATATACTATTGTATTTTTCTGGGTTAAGTTTTTACGTCGCACTTCTAATTATAATAGAATATCTTATAGATAGAACAAATTGTGATTACCTTTTACGTGTCACTATCAAACTAGATTATTTTAGTAATTATTGCTGTCATTATATCACGTACAATGAGACAAAAAATCAAATTCAATGATATGCATGAAATACATATTTAATCTGCTATTAGAAAATTTTAACCTTATTTGTATGGACGTTCGTGGAACATTTTAAATTGTCCCACTTATCAATATATGAATATATATGTTATATGATGCTCTCAAAGTTGGCGGCCTTTTGGGAAGTTTTTGGTCATTCGCCTTACTTGTGTGCTTC